GCCCCGTTACTGTAGAAGCCCCGTTACTGTAGAAGCCCCGTTACTGTAGACGTTATTTGGGAGAAAAAGCCTCCCCCTGTTTTAAGCCTTCACTCAAAGTGAGACGATCAGACACCAAAATCATCTGGTCGACACCAAAGCATCAGATTTTGTGCAGGTTGACACCAAAATGGACTCAATTGACTAGATTTGACTTCTTATGCTGTCAGTTTAAAGTGTGTTAGCAGATGATTTTGGTGTGTGTGACTTTAAACCGTTGCTATAATCCCATCAGACGCTCCTAACGAGCTGCTGATCAGCGACGTCGGAGACAGAAGAAGAGGCCAGCGAGCAGCGAGTGTACCTGGGCAGAGCGAGGCCTCTGTTGGTGTCTGGATCTCTACAGTCGGCACGTCTTCGGTGATGAGACATCAGAGAGGGTGTTAGCAGAGACCTGAGTGTGTGTGTGTGTGAAGTGTGTATGTGTTAATGTGTGTGTGTGTTCTCACCTGTCTGATCCCAGTAGTCTGAAGATGCGTGTGCTGTCAGAGATCTCCTGGGTGATCTGAGGAACATGTGAGACCATTCAGGCTTCATTTCATGTGATATCGCAGACATTAATGCAACTAAATAATCTCTTAATTCACAGAGTTAAACGTGAGAAGAATCATCCGTTAAATTCTCTCCTTAGAGTCACGAGACTCGAGTCACGTGTTCATGAGATCCGTGTTGGTGCTCAGTAGAAAGGCAGAATAACGTTGGACTTCTTCTCTTATTTTTCACATGTAAACAGTTTTCCAGGTTTTCCAGGACGTCAGAGACACTCTGTACTGAAGCTCACCTCGTTGGTCTTGAAGCTGCGTCCCTGCATGCCGTGCCTCCAGAAGGCCAGAACGCTGTCCTGGAGACAAACTGCAGAGACAAACAGAAACAAGAACTTTATCTCTGAAGTACAGCGGAGCTGAAGACTTCAGTTCATGAAAGACATTTTGGTCTCTATATTCATGTCGTGAGCTCTGTTTTACCCGTGGCTTCGATCTGGAAGTTGAAGGTGAGCTCGGCTGACAACTTCCTGCTGGATTTCAACCGTCCCTGGAGGTTCACGATCTTTATACTCCCTGTGGTTAGAGAGAGAGAGAGAGAGAGAGAGAGAGAGCCTCATGCACTCTGACCTGAAGCTGCACGATGAACACACGCATGTAAAGAACTGTGACTCACTGTCGAGGCAGACTAAGATGGTGTCCCTCTCCAGCTGAGTGACGTGGATCACACAGGTCTGTGGTGTGTCTGCAGAGAGAGAGAGGAGAGCTTAATGTCGGCCTCCATGTTTGAACATCTCAGGACACATCCAGGGTCAGTGTAAAGGGTTCAGGTGCTCTGAAATGTGTTTGTATGAGGGGCTTCTCTTCAGTCAGAGTACTACTACAGTAGAGGGAGTTCAGAGGAGCAAAGTACTGCTGTGGACGTATTTCAGACAGCTCATTGTGAAGGGTTATCTATCCTCTCTTTAAAGACACCAGACTCATTCACACAAACAGTGATTTAACCTCTCAGAACACAGGCGCTGCTGCTCTACTGCTGCCTCCATCGGCTAGTTAGTGAGTGTCTTTAAAGTGTAACGAGAGGACAGACAACAGCTTCAGCTGCTTGTCATAAAGGTCTGACTGGCAGCAAAGTAAAGAGGTGAAACATTCTGAATACAGCATTTAAACTGATAGAGATTCTATTTGGTGTTTAAATACGTCCACAGCAGTACATGGCTTTGCTCCATCTACTGTACAGAGGAAATACGCTGACTAAGGTAAAAAGTACCTCTTACAACCACACTTCAACACATCCCAGCGATCCTTTAACTGGCGGTAACAGAGGCCGGCACACTGTTCTCACTTGCTTCTGTGAACCAGGAGGAGGTAGAGTTGGGGTTGACGGTGCCGAACCGGACCACCTGGCTGAGCTCGGTGCCTTTGCTGACCGCCACGCAGATCAGAGGGTAGGTCTGCTCCGGGACCACCAGCATCTCGAAGACCTCCAGCGGACACGGCAACGGGAAGTCGATGTTCTGTGGAGGCAGACAGAGACACGGTCGGTGATAGCGATGTCCGTCTCAGAGGAAACAGGCAGTAGTGCCGACACTAAAGCTAGTTTTACACATTAAACTATTAACATGGTACAGCCGCTCCTCTCCGCTGTGTGTTCAGTCATATGACTGGTATATATATACTGTTATATCACAATTTAAAGCTTTCTTTCTGACAGACACGTTCGTCACACATGATGTGTTTAAGGACCGTCGGAAAGATGAAAATCTGACAATGATAACAGTTTTCACAGCTTCTGGCTGTGATGAACGGACTGGTTTTGGCGACTGTTTAAAGAAAACATGCTTCTCCATCCCGCCGGTGTTTTTGTAACCATAGCAGACATCAGAGCAGACTCAACAAACATGTCACATGTTTAAAATCTTCATTTGTAATAAAGAAACTGACCTTGATGAGCATAAACCTTTGCATGGACTCCACCCACTCCAGCAGCATGACGCTGGACTGGAAGGCTCCACACAGGTACTTGTGGCCAGTGTACGGGTTACGCACTGCATAGAGACAACACCGGCCATCAGCAACATGGTAACCTTTAACTTTAACTCAAGTATTACACACATGCTGCTATGTTCAGCCATGACACAAGCAGGACTAGTACAGCAGTGACACACGTGTAAATATAAAACCCCGCTTCACTGAAACTCACCCACGCAGCACTTTTGGCACCCTTTAGTGTCTGGAATTTTATTGGAGACGGCAAACTTCCTACAGACAAAGAGAGAAATCACGTTATTCAAATGGTTTGAGACTAAAGAGGAGCGGATGATTACAATGCAGTACAATACTCTTCTTAATGTTCATGTGACTGTTACGTTTGACTTCCTGTTTACCTGGGAATCATCTTATCGGGCAGCCTGTGTGTGGGAATGGCGACGGGTAACTTCTGTAACTGTCGGGCCTGTTCGAACAGACCGCCCAGACTGTGGGAGTACAGCTGGGAGGCTTTTCCTGCTCGGGGGAGAGAAAGGAACAGAAGTCAAGACGGAATAATGTCGACTTTAAGATGCAACGTGTAGGATCCAGCTTATGAGAATAAACCTTTTTAATACAACTAGCTCACCGGATATGGAGAGAAGACTACTGTTCATGACGTAGAGCCAGGTACACCGCCGAGGAAAGAGCTGCAGACAGACACGAGGAAGAGGAGGATGAAGAGGAAGACATGAGCACAGTGAGGAAGAGGAGGATACATGAGCACAATGAGGAAGAAGATTTCTTTATATTCAGTATTTTCAAAATAACGTAAAAATGTTGAGAGAAAAGTTTAAATTTCAATATATACGTGTGAGAGGATCTCAAAAGTTTGAGGTTTTTTATCTCAACATTTTTACTTTATTCTAATTTTTTTTAGTGTAAAGCGTCATTATTCATGAATTTCTCACATATTACAGGGGTGGGAATCACCAGAGGTCCCGCGATACGATATTATCACGATACTTAGGTTACGATACGATATTATCACGATACTTGGGTCACGATACGATATTATCACGATACTGCGATATTATGAGTATTGCGATGACATAGGCCTATATTGCGATTTATTACTTTTTTCAACTTCAAATTATGTCCCCAAAGGAAAACTGTCAACATGTTTTATCTAATAAGATAAAGTTTTCAGTGTGTTCATCTCACTTCAATCATTTTTATTGCAGCAGAATGATTGTCAAGCTGACAGACTGACCAACAATGTCATGAATGTTGCACGAACCTGACCAACTGAACTGTTTGTATTACTACATAGTCCAACTTAACTAAATGCAAACGTGTGGACTCAGTATATGAACTATAACTTATATAAGTAGGATATTAGAGTTATATAACTCAGTATAACTTGCGATGTGTGGACGTCGAGGGCAGAGAGCCAGTTATGCGCTGCACTCTCCCCATGAGCCTGGCTACTGTTGGCAGATTTAACCCCGTTGTGAGGCCAGATGTCTCTATCTTTGTACCAACTTCCTACCAATCACGCTGACCCGGGACCTTTGCTGACCTCACCAGAAAACAAGTCGGCACCATCTAGTGGACTGAAAAAGCAACTGATTTGATTTTTCTAGTAATTTTTTTTTATAGTTTATATAATAAAAGATCGATACTTGGCGTCCGTGTATCGATACAATATCGCCACACAAAATATCGCGATACTATGTTGTATCGATTTTTTCCCCCACCCCTAACATATTACAGTAAAAGGTAGAAACTAAGATGTGAATAAAACTCTGTTTATTACTATATTTATATTTATATTATATCACTCATCTTAAACAGCTTGATCTCTGGTCTCACCTGTTCCATGGAGGTCTCGTGCAGCTCATTAAGGTTTAACGTGTAGATTCCTTCTTCAGCTCCAAATATCAAATACTGGTCTGAAACACACACACACACACACACACACACACACACACACACACACACACA